GGCGCGTTAACACGGGGGACAACTCCGCTGCACACATTTTCAGAACGATTGGAGGAATGCCATCAGGACCATTAGCTTTCCGGACATCGATTGACTGCAACTCTGCACGGACATCACACTGCCTGATTTTAAGATCAGGCATTGTGTGGCCACAGTGAGGAATTATAGGTGGCTGTGCATTGCAGTCGTCGATTCGGGAGTTAGCCGCAAAGAGTTTAGCCAGGAGATCGACCTTCTCCTGCGGCTTGTGGGCTAAAGTTCCGTCAGGACATCGTAATGGTGGCAGCGAGGGTTGGCAGAAGTTGGATTGCACGGCTTTGGCCAGACGCCAGTAGCTACGGCTGCCCGTAGGATGCGTCAGTAGTTCTTGGCCGACCCGAGCAACGCGCTGGGCATCCGCTCTAATGTAAGCCCTTTTGCAGGACTTGGTGGCATTATTGTAGGCTGCTTTCAGCGAGTGGGTTTCGGGATCTCCAAGTGCTATACCTTTGATCCAAGCGCGATATGCCTCTTGCCTTTTATCAGCAGCACTGGCACACTCGCGGTTGAACCATCGGTTGCGCCTGCCTTTGCCGATGAGATAGGAATTTGGAATGTAGTATTCCATCCCTAAAACTATCTCATCAGCAACTGCAGCCGCACTAGCTGTTGGGTCCTTCCCACTGAAGCAGCGCTGCCCCCAAGGAACGGATGCGAAATAATCCCGCATACCATCCCAATCTGCCGACGAGTGGTGCCAAATCTGGCGTTTCGATACCGCGGAAGGCGGTAGCGGGTCCAGAGGCACTTTACTGGATACCAAGCAGTGATCAGAAGATCCTAAAGGAGCTCGAACCTCCACTCGGTAACCAGCTGGACGATTCGTCAGCAGAAGGTCCAACAAAGAGGGCGCGTGACCGACTATATCTGGGATCCTGGTGGGCTGGTTCACCAGTTGAGTCAGGTCGTGCGTGAGGGCGAATGCATGGGCAATTCTACCAGCATGGTCAGTTTTGGAGGAACTTAACCACAACTCGTGGTGAGCATTGAAGTCCCCCAAAAACACCAATTCCGCCAATGGAAACCGCTCCTGCGCATCATCTGCTACCCGACTAAGATGGTCCATAAGTCGAGTTGTCTCCATGTCGCCATTATGGGATCGGTAGACGCAAACATAGACACGGCTATGAGAGCCCAAGTCGACGTGTACCACAAGGAGGGAAAAGGAAGGGTCCTCCAGACAGCGCAGACGCCGACAACAAACATCCGCCCGAACGAACAAGCAAACTCCGGCTTTGGCTTTGAAGGATTCTTCAAGCACAAAGCCCGGATAGTGCAAGTAGCCTGTGTCGGCCGGGCAGATTATTTGCGTCTCCGTCAAAAACATCATTGCTGGCCGTGCCGTCTCAAGATGGTGGTGGACGGCATTGAGGTTTGCATGGAGTCCGCGGATGTTAGCGAACTCGACCTCAAACGGTTTGGTTGTGGTGGGGGTGTGCACCGCTGTTCGACCAGTTTTTATTTTAAGCGCTGTCATGGTGGATAAAAGGAGGGAGGTGTGAATCGAGGAAAAGCTACCGCGATGCAGATGGTCAAAGTGTGGCGGCCTGTTTCGCCAGAGATCTGCCTACAGATGAGTATCATTAACCCGCCGGACGGAAGGGCCCCCGAACCCCCCCGGGAATGGCCACCGGGACCCCACCTTCCGGTCACCAACCGGCACGACGGACCACCCCGAGATTATGCGTGGCATGGTGAGGCAGCCTCACGAGCTGGTTAGACTCGCTTGGGCCCCTGTACTGTGCCACGGGCGGCCAGCGGAACAACCGTTTCTACGGGTCTCCCTGGCCGGCGGGTTATCAAAGTCTTCCTGGCACTGGTTCGACGGAAGCCTCCACAGACCAACTGCATCGCGGCAGCATTCACTCGAGCTCTGGTTATACGCTGGCTGATCCCGAAACGCGACCGACAAGCGGTCACTTGACGGGTTTTACACCATGCGTACGGTGGTGGTCACTAACCAGACGGGCCATGCCCTACCACGCAGTAGAGCAGATGGAAGCTCTAAAATCCGTTAGTCGCCTCTTACGACACCCATCGGAGGAAAAGGGGCGGAGAATAGTATTCTTTCTCCGTCTCCGCACGGATTCTATATGAACACCCAACATACCTGTAACAAATAATAATAATAAAAATTAAAACTGAGTATTGGATTCGACACCATACCAGTTTTTGCCGCAAGCAGTAATGTTGCTCACATTATTGCGTTTCGGTTTTAAAGAGTAAAGGTGCTAGTGAAACCCTGTACCGATTCAAAGCTCTGAGTGGACCTGCAATAGATCAACAGACTGGCGTGTCGCTTACCACCAGGAGCGCGACGTGTTCGTCCAATCACTTCGTATCATAAAAAATAATAATAATGACAAGTTGTAATGCAAGTTGTGTTAAGATGATTTACGTTGCTGGTGGTATACAAATTTTAAATTTAAAAATTAAATTAAAATTTTGATTTAACTTCGATAACTCCTGGAGAGCTGCGGGAAGGATGAGGTCGCAAGTGAATGAAAAAAAAAACGAAGGGGAAAGTGATCGTGTTTACACTATATATTTAATAATAATTTAATAATTAAATTTTATGAAAACTGGCAACCCTGCAAGTGTCATTTTAGTCCATTTTAAAAAAAAGACAAACTATATGATTTTACATCCATTTCCGTGTGACGTCGACCAAGGCTGCCAAATGAAAATCAGCGTGGGGTACACTCTGCCGCACAATGCCGAGGTGGCGAGTAGCATACATAGATTGGTTTTTGTAAAGCCAAATTTTTACTGTTTTTCTTTTTTTTCCATGTTTGTACCTTTTCTTATATGTATTTTTGTCATCGTCGAATAAATGGTTTTCCATTCTTTTTTTTTTAACGCACATGCCTCTCTTTTATTTTCACATGCACTAATTAGTTTAAGTTATCATGACTTCCGGTTCACAGCTTTACTTGATTAAGGATAGTTTAGATATAAAAAAATGCAGAAAAAAGAAGCGAACACAAGTTTTTTAATTCAAACAAACCTTAATGTTAATAAAAAGAAAAGAAGACGGTTTGACCTACTGCCTATCAAACATAAGCTGTGGGGTTCGAATCCGTGACTCGCACCACTGAGTTTTTCGGAATTTATGTGCGAAATGTAATTTGAAATGTACCATGAGCTTTTCCGTGAAGGAAAACGTCGTGGTGATGAAACTTGCACGTTAAAGAAGATTCTTCTTTTTCTTAGTGTGCCGCTTCTCTAAGAAGATTGATCACGGCCATTCCCATTTTCGAAGGTATCGCACGAAAGAGGGAGCATGTGCTAAGGTTGAACCCGTCTCTCAGATTCTTCAACCACGAGGTTCTCCTTCTACCACGACTATGATTTTCTTGTATTTTTCCATGCATTATTAGTTGAAGAATTCGGTATCTATTCAGCCTATCATTACGTGGCCAAAATACTGTAGCTTCCTTTCCTTTACAGTTCTGAGAATCTCAACATTGGAAAGAAGGTTCACAGCCCTCGGAAAACGTGTGAAGTCCCCAAATCCGCATTGAGCCAGTGTCGTTGCCTAAACCCTCGCCTGAGAGGAGACCCGTGCCCAGTTGTGAGACGTAAATAGGTTGAACGAGATTGCGAGCTTTGACATAAACCTGATGAAAATAACACCAAGAGATGACGTCACTACATGTTATTGTATATTGCCAGGTTGACGGAACAAGTCTTGACTGATTACCTGATACACGAGTTTTGACTGATATGTTTATTGACTCTGCTTGCAGGTGACAAAGATAAACTGCATGGTGAATCCGTACTTTTATAAATGATATTATGATAATTTAAAAAAATTACAAATTTACCACTTACAATGATACTTCTACAATTGCTAGGTAATTTGTCGCATCAACACGTAAAATGCTGTACAAACAAAATATACGGTATTGCATCGTACAATAACTTAAATAATAATAGCCTCTATTTTCACGTCGTCAATTGGTTCGCTAAATAAAAATCAATGTAGAATTTGAAAATATATGAAAAATTAAATATATCTTGTAAAGCCTACATAACAAGGAACAGAATTAAAAAATGTAAGCAGTCAAGAAAATGTCCAGTTTGGATTTTGGATCGTTTTCGCAAGCGACATATGGTTAGATTTAAGTCGTGTCAAATTTGACACAATCTTGACCCTGTAGCTCAAACACGGGTCTGACGTTGGAAAATTCAATTCACAATAAACAAAACCATACCAAGAAATTTGTAGGGTTTTGTTTATACTCCAATATAAGTCGAGAATGGTACAATACCTAACCAAAATAATGTACGATATCTGGGGCTACATCATGACAGGCGGTAAACATGGAGAGACCATACAAAGAAAAAGAGAGAGGAGCTGAATAGTCTAGTAGGAGCTAAATGTCTTTTGTGGTTCCTGGGTCTAAACAGCAAATTGTCAATAGACAAGAAGCTACTTATATACATGTCGGACTATAACCGTACAGGGAGACGTTATGTGAAACTCCCTCGTCACTAATTGTGTCAGGAATTATTTGATAATTGGTCTATATGTTCTTCGTTAAGCCAGCGGTGAATAATAACGTCAAAGTTAGTTAAATTTAAAGCCAATGGGTTTGTAAGTGTTCACACCACCAGTGACCCGTCAAACTTCTTCTTCCCCGACGAATACTGACACTTACAACGTACTTCCCTGGACGAACTCTCTCACAAGGAGATTTACAGCTACTGCGAGTGCCTTACAGCGATTGGCAAATCCTTTCACCACTGTGGAAATCATTACAGTGAATGCCATCGATGCTATAAGAAGAGAGAGAGAAATTCTAGGAGGAGATGTTCTTGCTCAAGGACATACTCATTATATGGGGAACGGCTATTGAGTGGAATTCCCTGTCTGCAGACTTGAACGTTATAACTAGGCATTATGCATGCTCCATTGTCGACCTCATCGTCACTTTCCATCAGGTGAGATGAGATGGAGTCAAATGCGCAATTACATTTTTATATAAAAAAAAATACTCTACACTCTATTCAATCCGGAACACGTTTGTTTATAGTAAGAAGAACAAAAAAACAAAAACATCCTCCTCCTCAATACACGCTTAACATTATTCACCGTCCTCCCACCCCTTACACAACTTTTGGTGGGTGTTGACTTTATCGATTTTGTTGGCCCACTTCTCTTGCCTAGACTAGAACGCATTTAGATTTACTACGACGTTCTTTTTTCGTTGGAATGTCTTAACTTCTCAGAACATGGAACATTACGGGTACTTTTGCTATTTTTCATGTCCAGTAAACATAAAGAAAGACTACGTGTAAGTATCCGATTACGAGTATCGGATTGTCGAGAGGGTAGTGCAAAAATATACTTTTTCTCCATGACACAATAGATAAATAGTCGGCTTAAAAATGTAATATTTTATCACATTGTGATAAAAACTTTATTGAATATTATATTTTTACTACCATGATATTCGCACAATTTCTGTGAAAATACTCCACTACTTTGTTATTACTATTGATACAATGATCGAAGAACACAGAGAAATTCCTTAAAAACCACCGTATGCTGCCACATCGGGGTTACAGCTTTTACCAACTGCGCTACAGACCAACAGATCTTACGAATTTCTCTATGTCCTTGTTGGAGATCTTAGGTTCAAACGGCTTTTTTGCAGTCAGCACCACTTGTGAGAAACTTATGAAAGTGATGAAAGTCATAAAGTCATCGTCAACATATGAACATGACCCACAATCCAGCATAGGTCTATCTCTAAAGAGAGTGTTTAGGCCATAGTCCCCCCGCGTTGCTGACAGAGAGAGAGAGAGAGGTATTGCAACTAAAATAGTACGTATAGAAATTAGATACATAAGCACCTGCCGCCACAGAGACTCGAACCGTTGCCTTCTTAATTGAGAAGCAGTTGTTCCCCCATTAGGTTACTACTGTTCGTCATACAGTTCATCAATCATAAATTTAAAATTTCCAAATTCCAGTCGGTTTTTTTAAGATACTTAGTGACGGGACGAACAACTTAGCGATACGCCTGTCCATAACAGTTGCAGTGCCACTTACAGCTTAAAATCACGAAGATCTGAGGGGCACTACCACTGCGCCCGTCACCCCGAGACATAAGTTGACCAGTCCCATGTGCCTGTAACTTCACCAGCACCCTTACCCTTCAAAACCGGAACGGAGTAATGCTGACATTATTGCTTGGTGGCGGAAATAAGGTGGCAGTACTTATATGGACGAACTCTTTTACAAGGAGCGCTACTGCTACTAATTGATTTGAGTAATATTCATCAATGATTTGATGCAAAAGAACGACCTCAGTGCTTCGGCAGTTTGCAAGATGAGAAGGTTCCATGGTCTGGGTAGCGCCCTGAAGTTGATTTCGTTGCTTTGGTAGTAATAGTAAAAAGAATACGCTAGTTTGAGGCCAGGTAAGGTGGTAAGTAACAGGAGACCTTGTTGTTATTTTCACCCAAACACATAAACCATATGGAACGCAAAGTTATAATTACTACATCCTTCTTTGCGGGTCGATTTAGGTGAACTCGTGCACAGAAATACAGTAAGAGACGACTAAGTCGTACGCCTACCAATCACTTTAAATCCGCGAAGATCTGGGCACGATAAACTACACACCTGTCCATAACAGTGAGCCAAGCACGAACATTTCCATCCTACGTCACGTTTTCGAATCGCCTTTACTACACGAAAACGTATACTCCACTTTCACGGAATCTATCGGCAGCACGAATCCCCACGTATCACTCTCGTTAACTCTATAGGTAAACCCTCGTATCGACAGAATGGTACGGTCAGATACCTAATACCAAGATAAATCAATTCGTATTATTCTAATTACACTAATTTTTAATAATTTAAAAATATAAATAAAGCCATTAATATTACAAAAAAACTCTGCAATT